TCTTGCACTGAGATTGTGATAGTGTGTGTGTGTGTGTGTGTGTGTGAGTGTTAGGTGTGTAGGGTTTTCCCCCGACGCGCTTGATCATTGTTTGCGTGTTTCGCACTTTCACGTTCATCCCCGTGCAACGCGCATCATCTGGAGCCCACCGCGAGGGTCTCCTTTTGTTTTTGATAAAGCAAAGACTTGAAAGTTTAGTGATCTACGGGATCATTTTATTTGAACGAAAGTTTAAATTAAAAACCGCTAGCGTTTGAAGCAATTTAAATACTAGTGCAGAGCCGTTCACCACGGCACCAAAAATCAGACAAACAGCGAATTCTATTAAAGCAGGGGAATCGTCAGGTTTACCACCTCCACCTAAACGAAAAGCTAAGCAACCTGCAACAGCAGTAGCGCAAAGGTTTCCGTTAAGAACAGAGACAGTATCCCAACCGCCTCCTCGCGTGACTCGTAGAAAAACTGTTAGGGCATCTGATAATATAAACCCGAACTTGTTAGCCCAAAGAAATATTACAAACATGCCAGATAATACCCGAGATGAAGCTCCTGCCACTGGAGGCAGAAGATCGTCTAGACCGATGCCATTGCCAGGCTCCCGAGGAGCTCCTAACTTTGACAAGGAAAAACCCATTGAGCTGTTAAGATTCATTGACCAAATGGAGGACTTGTTCACAGAGCATGGTATCGATGATGATCAAGAAAAGAAGAAACAGTTAGGAAGGTATACAGACCAAATGACGGAATTTGAATGGTGAGCATTTGACATGTTTGCTCCTGAAATTGAATACAAGGAGTTTAAACAGGCGTTGATCGATGACTATCCAGAGGCAAAGAATGCTGGAAAAGGAACACTAGCAAATTTGAGAAAAATTTGTAATGACCATCAGCGCATTGATATTGATGACATTGTTGCACTTAAAAGCCTCACTAGAGGTTTCCGAGCAGAACAAAAATTACTCTTGGTGCCACCTGCCTTGGTGAGCAACAGAGAATTGGTAGAACTGTTTTTAGGATGTCTAAGGGATAGTTTCCAAGGACAAGTGGAAGGAAGTCTCAATATTAAGCTTTCCCGAGATAAAGGAAAAGCTGTCGATGGAAAAGAACACCGTCCAGAGGATCCATATGCTATCCTAGATGTAATTGAAATGGCTGAGACTATTGCAGGACGTGCACAAGGGATAAGCTCTTCAAGTGATACCTGGGTTGGTGTCAATGCGACAGAAACACGGACGACACGAGGGCATCACACGCATACTACGCCAGTACATAGTGTTAAGCTAGAAGATGATATCCGAGAATTAAACCAGAAAGTTGCGTTACTCATGGATAAAATTACATCGAGTGAAAAAGCACAAATGAGTGCCTTCCAAGCATCAAGACAAGAAATGAACAAATTAACTGAGACGTTAATGACCCAGCATGTTACCTCAGCACCCACCATGAGGCAGACACAGCCTACTTGGAGAATGGGTTCAGACGGATGCTGGTACTGTGAAGAAACAGGGCATTTCGCGATGAATTGTCCATAGGGAAGAACATATTAGAACAGGAAAAATTAAAATGTCCGGTCATAAGATGTTTTTCGCGCTCACAGGACAACCAGTACCTAGAGGAACAAATGGGAAGTCTGCTAAAATGATTGTTGAGGAAGCTAGCAATAAAGATATGATGGCGCAAAGCAATATGTTTGCATCACCTGG